CTTCGACCAAATGTGTACCACTAATACTACTAATATCAGTAATATGCATTTCAAATCATGCATTTCTTGTTTGATAAACATTTTATTAATTAACCTCGCTTGCTCTGTCTTTAGAGAGAAATATCGGACCTTGGTCTTTTTGTACCAACCTTTCGGTCTGTACAAAAAAAGACCTTGCGCTCAATTAATAAGAATTTAATAATCTTTTAATTTTTTTATCTCCTAGATTACCCCTGGCAGGCACAAACCTACGGACAGAACCAAAGCATATTGTATTTCTGTCCAACTTACTCCAATTGTTCAAGTTCTGCCAAATATGCAAGCATGATAACCCTGAGATAGAAGTGAAAGAATGTGGAACAAGTGTTTCAATAAAGTCAAAATGCCCTTCGTGTATGCAGGAGATGGATTGGCATAGTCAGCCATATATGCCTGGTTCAAATTCACAGATAAGAGCTGGTAATTTCCTTCTTAGCTTCTCAATACTGGTTAGTGGAGGATCACCTGGAAGGACTGTGAAGCTTTGCAAACATATTGGACTTGGCTGCATCAGTTTGAAAACATACTACATATATCAGAGGGTGAGTAAAAGAATATACAATATAAGTTGCTTTTACATTACCATCTTGCCCCCAACATTTCAATACTAATCTATGGATGTGCTGGTTATTACATAGTTACTGTATTAGTAGGAGCTGATACAATTGTAAAGTGTAAATTAAAACAGATTGGTTAAAATAACACATAAATTGGTTATTTCAGTCTTGAATGGAGGGTATTATTAAAACATCACTAAAATACTTTTTCTGTTGTAGGAAAAATTATTTCCAACAATTCACATATATTGGGAGAAATACCAAAAGAATGCATTGGAAAAAGTTAAAAAAGAGAGCAGTGATGAGATAGTTGTTGCAGGAGATGGTAGGCATGATAGTATGGGCCACAGTGCCAAGTTTTGTGCTTATACCATCTTCTGTTGCAATGTACCTATGATAATTCACTTTGGCATTGTGCAGGTATACAGTATGACATGCTCTGCATTTTAAATAACACAGAGTAATTTTTATTCGCAATATAATGGATTACATTAAATTTTGAATTTAGAGAAATGAAGCTGGAAGTAGTCCTGCCATGGAATTTATGGTATTCAAGAAGTATATGGATGGTCTAATTGGTTGGGACCTTCTGATTCAAACATTCATCTCCGATAGGCACAAGTCGATCTCCAGTCATATGAGGAAAGTGTTGAAGCACATAACTCATTGGCATTTGAAGAAAAGTAAGTTTGTTGAATTAATTTTTTAATATTGCATGTACTGTTGTAGGACCAATATCTGGTTACCTTGCTTGTTTCCAGTGGGTTCTCAACCTCGTACCTGTGGTCTTTCCTCTTGTGGAGAAAAGATCCTGGTAGATGCTGGTCACATGATTTGCTAAAATTTAGCAGATTTCTAATTAACTACCTTGGATTCCTTTACGACAATCATCAAAAAGCAATTTATAATTTAACTTTTCTCCCCTCGCCAAAAGGGAAGACCTGGTTACAAGGTTGTGGGTTTCTTGGCAGTCAGTTATAATTTGATGATGTAAAGACACAAGTTATTTTATTATTTTTCATAGAAATTCGTAAGGTGCTGTCCAAGATAGCTAAAGAGAAAGGTTTAAGATTTGGCTGACTGGATCAAGCCATGTCTTAACCACCTTCATTGGAGTGCCACATCGACATATGATGGTAATGGCTTGGTTATCTGGGCCAAGTTTAAAGCATTTATGAGCCATGTTGTGAATGAGCACTCTGATTTAGAAGATCCTCTCTTTAACAAATGTGCTCATGGTGATATTGGCCCTAGGAAATGGTTAACAAAAGGTATGTTGAACAAAATGATCACCTATAAAATATAAAGAGAGAGTATTTTTGATGCATACAGAAGTTTATAACTAAATTTTTAATAGAGTAGTCCAGTCAATCTGTGACCAGAGGTCAAAGAAATTGCAATAGAATTTTTTTCAGTGGTAAAATGTGAGGGAAGGTGTCCTGATTAACATACTAAAAATCAAAAAAAGTCCCTTCGGTGGAACATGGTGAAAATCAAGTTTTTCCTATATACTTAGACCTGTAGAAAACCATTGTGGACAGAATGTTCAAATTTTGAAATCATTTTTAGGCAAATGTAACCTACATTATTGGAAAGCTTAAACAAAACTATATTAAGGTCAATTAAACCGTTATATTCAATTTACTGGTCAGTTTGTCGTTATTCTAGCTCAAAGTTGGAAAAATAGCGCAAAATTTGCAAAAAATACAAATTTATGGCATTTTAAATCTTGTATAACTTCGGCTGGATAGGCAAAAGCAAGGTAACAACCGTTTAATGATCTATATTTTAGTTTTTTCTAAGCTTTCCAATGATGCATGTTATATTTGGAAAAACAAAATTCAAAATTTCAACATTTTGTCTGCAATGCAATGGTTTTCTATAGGTAGAAGTAAGAAAAACTTGATTTTCACCATGTGTTAATATGTTAATCAGAACAACTTTTCTCACACTTTACCAGTGAAAAAAAATCTATTTCAATTACTTTGATCAGGACCATGTACTTATAGTGATTTGACTGGACTAACTTTTAGAATAATTGTATTTGTTACAGTGTGACAGACTTGTGAGTTGTGGTACAGCAGATATTTTATATTTATAAGCCCAAAATAAAAGCAAAATATGTAGAGTATGTAACTTAAACTGTTGATAGCTGTGTTACACTGTTACACTTACAAAATTTTCCTGGTACAGTATACATATCTTGAATTAAAAACTGAAGCATATAATATTTTACAATTTTAAAATGTTATAACATTCACCACATATAGGAACCCCGTTACATGATCGGCTTTGTGCAGAGCTGACGAAGAAATCCCTGGTTGCTGGTATAAAGAAAGCTTCACCATTAGCTCAAACCAGCTGTTTGGAAGGCTTTCATTCTGTTCTAAACCACTTTGCCCCAAAGATGCTGGCATATTCCTACACTGCAATGTATTGCCGGTATGTACATATACTTTGTAAACCAATGTTGATTTATCTACAGTATTCCACTGTCTGTGGTATTGCAAGTGCAATACAACACACTATTAAATTAATTATTGTACCCGGAAAGTAAAATTGCACTTCAAAGTTTCAAAGTAATTTCCAGATGAAGGGTCATTTTGTTCTTATTTTTCAGGTTACTGTATTTTTATCACACTTTTATTACCACATATTACTTTATGTTGTTTTGCATCATAAAAATGGCATTAGAATATATTCTATGAGACATACAGGATACTCTACTATAATCACAGCAAGATGAAATTAATTTATTGTGAATATTTCAATTTGATAGGCATATCTTAGCAGCTGTTCATTTCAACTGTAACCTCCAAAGAGATGTTCAGTTGCACAAGACGACCAACCAGAAAAGGATTACAGCATCATATCCCAAGTTCAAGAATGGTGAGGCAGTTGTTCGGGATGTCAGAGTGAAGCCAAATTTTGGTAAGATAATTTTGGTATCTGTGAATTCCCAGAATATTCTCCATCTATGTCTCTTGCTATGTTTTAGTGAAGTCGATATGCTCCCTGCCTATGGCCTATACCCTCCTCAGACCATAGAGATTATAAATAACACTAGAGGAGACATCGCAATCTTGACATCAGGCAAAAAAAGTAATGCTGCTATGAGGGGGAGGGGGGGGGAGCAATGAGAGCACAATTTTATATCTGGGACTTGAATTTTCCCCCAATTAGCCGCGTTCCCATTTTTTAACCTTGATGTGTCGTCTAGTGTTATTTATAATCTCTATGCCTCAGACATCCACCATACAATACACACCCACCATATTTGACCGAAATAATTATAGTGAAATATTGATCAATGTATACCATGAACCCACGTATATATCCATGTTTGATTTGTACAGAATACATCGAAGAAATATTTCAAACTTTTCTTAATGCTACCAAAGATGATCTCAAAAAGGCAGCCAAGCAACTGAAAGATAATGTCCCACCTGCTATGAATATGATGCTTAACAAGCAATCGAAAGCAGAGGCAGTTAAGAAAAGAGATGAGAGGAAAAAAATTGTTGTGAAGAATGTCCCTCCAACCACACCAGGTATTTAATTAAACATTAATTAAAACATATTGTTATTATTCAATTATTTTGTACCATGTCTTAATTGCAAAGTGCTTACATGTAGATAACCAGTGGCGGAAACTGGGGCGGGGGCAGGGGGCGATCTCGCCCGCCCGCTCCGATTACTTTAGCTACCTTTCATTCCGAAAAATGTAACATGCGGGCTACACACTATACCTGGCAAATAAGGGGCTCCCATAGCCAGATGACGTAAAAAATCATGTGTTTTGAAATTGTATTTCCAGTTGGGATTAGCTCACAGTCGAACCAGAAATGGAAATACTATGACAGATACAAATTTGAAGATTTTGGCTCGAAAATGACACTCTAAATAGTGTCTTTGATAGCGATCCGAACAAGAGCATTTCCCCATACCCCCTAGAAATCTTGTGCCAAAGGCACTCATCCCCCCTATATTTCGCAAAGTTTCCGCCACTGTAGATAACCCAGTATGCTTGCTGTTAATATAAATCTTTTTGTTACTGTAGTTTCACTAGTTGTTGCACAGAGCCAAAAGAAGTGTAAAGCACCACCAAAATGCAGGGCATGTAAACAACCCATGAAAGGACACAAGTTTGTCACAGACTGTCCAAGGAATGCAAGGAGCACACCATAGTGTATTTTATGGATAAGGCATTTAAGGAAGGAGGGCATATTAGGAGGTGTTTTTTTTCATAAAAGCATATTAGCATTATTTAGCAGGTTGGGGATTTATGATAGAGATTGGGCCTTATGTTACAGCAGGAAGGGTCTTAACAGAGGGGAAATATTTGGAAGGGTGGTGCTTATTAGAGATGGAGCTTACTAGGCAGGGTGGTGTTTATTAGGAGGGGACTCAATAGAGTGGGTACTTTATAAGGAGGGTAGTGCTTATTTAGGGGGGGGGGCTGATAGAGAGGGTGTTATTTTGAGGGTGGTGATAATTTTGGAAGGGGCTTAATAGGGAGGGAGCTTTATAGGGAGGGTGACTATATAGGGAGGGTGACTTTATAGGGAGGGTGACTTTATGGGGAGGGTGGTGATATTTGTTAAATAAATGATATTATGCACTACTGTATCAAGTTTGCTGTACTTTCACTTGTTTTCTATCCCTAATAAGAACAAAATTCAAAACTCATTTATGTTGATACCAAACAAAATGTTCCATATAGGTTTCATTAGAGTATAATATTTAAATAGTACAGTAAAACCCTTCTTTACAAAAGAACCTGTTCAGACTAGAATTCCAAAACAGCTTCTTATTTTATTGAAGAAGCAAAAAATTAAACAGCAATCAAAGAGAATAAGCTATTTATAAAGTAGTGGATTCGAAATACTGTTATTTTGAAGATAATTTGCGCATAATTAACAATTATTGGATGAGGTTTTTGTGATATGCGGTATTATCAAGGTCGAGGTAAGTGTTATCAGCCGAGCTGAAGGCGAGGCTGATAACGCTTACTGACACCTTCATAATTTTGCCTGAATTCAATCATTGTTTATTATACATTTGTTAGTGTTAAATAGATACTGCTTGCTAATCATTGCAAGCTCATTTGTAGATAAGTCAGTTATCTGCATGATTGTGTAACTGTAAGCTCTTAGCCAATCAAATTGCTTTTACCAAGTACAATGTATAATAATGTATATAAATTATATACTGTACCTACTGAAACTTGTAAACATCTACGGTAGACTCTTATACGATGGGTTTTACTGTATGTTAGTTTAGTCATTCATTTATTCAAATATTTCATCATCCTCATCAATTTCAAATCCAGTAAATGATTCATCTTTTGTTAGTGGAAATTTCTTCCTTATTGCATGGTATGCACATGCAGGCAGTGGTATGCACATGCAGGCAGTGGGATTCTTGTTTTCCCAATACATCATACACCATCCTTGTAAACTTCCTGTATGCCACACTACGTAAAAACCTAGAAGAAATGATAAATGAACAACTTTATCATTAGTAATGGTATGTAGACAAATGCAAAAAACTATTTCAATATTTAAAAATTGATTTTACATTCGGGCATAGTGTGAAGATGATAAATGGAGACCATGGGCTTATGAGGAGCGGTTAAGTGTAGCCAAAGCAAGTTGAAAATTGGGAAAAAACACTTGTTAATTTTGATAAATTGGCTAAAAATACCAAACAAAACAAGGTTACTACTTTTATTGCTCAAAAAATCAAATCAATTTAATTGACAAAGTCCATGTCAAACCATTACATCTAAAAAACAATGCATGTGCACTCATGTTTCGATATATCTTAGATTTCGCCATTGCCAAGTCTGGGTTATGCCCTAGTGTTAATGATTTTTCTTCAGTTGATTCACAGTCTCCTTTTGCTGCACTAATATCGAACATGTCGTCTGTCAGTAACCTTTCACGCTTGGCAAAAAAAGTTATAAAGTGGTTCAATGACACAAAAGAAAGTGCAAAATCTTTCGATTATCGATTTACTGGGCATGAATCTTGACGATTTTTGCATAATTTCATGTATTTACTTTCGGCAATTGAGTATAAAAATGATCAAGCACCAGCCAGGCTCAAGCTACATGTATTGGCATTTACCATATTATCCCTACGAGATGCAGTGTCCCTGTTCAACAGGTTTAATGTGGAAGAAAACCAACTAGACCAACTTGATAAAGTTTGTAATGAATTCTGTTCTTGCTGTGTTTCTTGAGGTCAATTCTACGGTGTGGACCCTTGGATGAGTGGTTCCAGTTCATGCAAGAGATGTTTTTACCAAGTACAAAACGGGGTTGATCATCAATTCAATGGAGGGAAGAGAGGTGAAGCATCAGGCTATAGCAAGATATGCCACAAATTCCACATACCACAACCGCTGGCATTGTGTATTCCGCCATGAGTTCATATCACTTATTTGGCTGAGGGAAAGGGGACGTAATCTTACAAACAGCAAGAGTTGCAATGCATCATATATCCCTAAATGTGTATCAAGCGATGAATACTGCAATTGTGGTCTCCTACTTGCAGAAGGAGTGTGCAAATACTGCAACCATGCAAACAGAGTGGAACTTTTAAAGAGTATCAAATCAAAAAAGGCTAGCATGGAACTCAAGCTATAAATTAAACAAAGCTTTTCAAACTGTTCTTTAAACATTTTAGTTGAATTTACATAATTTTACTAACATTCAACAATATGCTACAATTTACACTTTAGGCCAATGCTGGTTATTGTTAATACCATGGTCTTTGTTAGTAGAATTCATAATTATACTTTTTAACATTTCTTATTATTCAAAAGCTCTCTCTGTTATTTTCATAATTGATAACTTAAAGTGTGAATAACCCAAAATATGATATTTTGTTATGTGTAATATTTGGGTCATTTGAAGAAGAAATGTGATGTATCTTAATAATAAAAAAATTCATTTTGATCAACTTTTTCATTGTCAAAGTTTCCAGATGTAATGTCATTAGATGAATTGCAAATTACTTTTTCTTTGTTTTTTGTACCAAAAATTCAGCTAATGACATCATATCTGGGGACTTCGACAGTGAAAAAGTTGACCAAGACGAGGTTTTTTACTATAAACATACATAACATTTCTTCTCAGAATGACCCAAATATTACACATACCAAAAATTATATTTGGGGTTAGTCGCACTTTACTCAATTATGAAAATACAAAACTTTGATGCAGTTAAGCACCTATCAATGGGTCGTCGCAAAAAAATATCCACATACTTCAAAGAAGTAAATTTGAGTGTAAATATCCAGTTCCCCTTATTACATTTACTAGAAAAAATACCACAAAGTATCAAAGTAGTTGTATTCAGTAAATGCAATAAGTGGAACTTGCTATTTGGCACTTGAGCGGCACTGAATGTTTTAGCTATCTGGGATGAAAGTTCTTCCTGTAAACACTTGGGCTAACCCAAGTAACAGGTTGGAAAATGAAAGGTAAACATCACACGACACATCTGACAATGCTATTTGAACAGCTTTTCATTTCACTCGTATTGATGGCAATCCAGGCAGGCTGGAACATTCATTGATGGGTGAAATACACTTGAGAATTCTAACAAAGGGGCTTCGCTTGATTTATTAACCTCAATTTAAAGTCACCATACATCAAGTATGCTGAGGAAATCCATTAGGATTCCAAATTCCAAAATTAAAGCTTATGATAAATTGACCTTTTTTATATTTATAAATGAAAGCAAAATCCTTCACTTTGTTTACAATCAGCTCTGCGTTTCCTTTTGATTTAAGACTTCGACTGCAGTACTTTCTCACTTCCATTTCGGTGTACCCGCAAATTATGGTAAAAAGATTGATAACACTCTTTAATGAGGTAAAGGAAATCACAGCTGCTTTTCTGTTACTTGAAATATAACAGTTTGGTTCAATGAATTCAGGTAAAGTGCTTGACTTCAAAGCTGCCTGAAGAGCTCCAAAAACAGCATAAGGAATATCTCTACAGCACTTTCCGTTGAAAGCATTGCGAATTTTTGGACAACCTCCTAGTCTTCTATTAATCATATCCAACCATAATCAACTCTTGCCAAAAAGAACCGAAGCATAACTTAACATTCATGTTTCAAGAGCTTTTCTCATCAAACCATAGGCAGCTGATTGTGTGTTTTCTGTCTCACTCTCGATCCTTTCTTCTTCTGGTCCTGATAAGTATTTGTCTGCATAATTTTGATACACATCCTCTGCATTATCGGCCACTTGTTCGACAACCTCAGTGAAACTTAATGCCTTGGCTGCCATATTGTTTTATCTCAATAAGCGCTGTTGTTGATGACAACCGCTGGCCAAATATTCAAATCTCATGGCACGTGCTCACACGTCTTTGAGGTGTTTCTGTAACAATCCTGTGAATGAAAATTGGTTCTGCCAAATTTACAATACCGTAATGATTGAACTTGCATTAATTATGTTATAGTAAAAATGTGTATGGAATATGAAATTGACTTGCCTATTTGATAGTGTATGTTCCACTTTTATTCCTCATTTGTTGGACTTTGCACTCAATGGTACTAGCAGGGTGTTGGCCAGGTGGCCGTCCGACCGTCCTATGGATGGCCACTTCTGAATTTGGACTGCTAAATTTTAATGGACGGCCATGAACGGCCTAATGGAATATTCTCTTTAAATAGCAATTTACAAGTTTGTAATATTTCTTGAATACTTCGAATTGTTGTCATCTGCTGTTTACTTTACTTATGGTACATGTTTTCATACTTTCCCCCAAAAAAACACATTGAATATGGCTGAATTGAAGCATCGATAAACACGCCATATTTTTGTAACCATGTTGATGATTCTCACATGAGGTATCAAGGAGAATAATTTGAAACAGCCATTTTAAAAAAACAGCAATCGCTCGAGCGCCATATGCTTTATAGTTACAGTTACGGTAAATATGGCTTATTAAATGAGCCAAACCCATAAAAATATCGGCGATTGATAAAAAAACAACTAAACACTACACTGCTGTGTTGTGGTCTTCATTATAGCATACACTGTATATTGTAGTGATCATACTGTTTATACCATATGTGTGCTTTAACTAATTTAATAACTGAATTGTGCATCTAAAAGTAAAAGGTTCAACAAATAGAACACACCACAATTCCACAACAACACCCTGGGTACTAGTAATACATGATATCATGTATTATGTATTACTTGGACCATGGAGTGCAAAGTCTCGGAAAATATTAGTCCAACAAATGAGGAATAAAAGGAGAACATACACTAACAAATAGGCAAGTCAATTTCATTTTAAAATTTATATTTTATGACATTTTTACTATAATATACATTACCCCTATATAAAGCCAATACTGACCGTTGCGAGATTGGGTCGCCTGTGGTGCAATTAATGATTTTTGTGACAGCTGGGGGGAGTGGGAAATCAAATTTATTTTGTATAAATAACAAACATGGACGATTTAACTAAATTTTGCCACAAGAATGAGTGTAAAAAACATAGTATGGCAAAAAGAGCCTGTGGAAAATACCTGGAAAGATATAATCACGGCAACATGCAGCGAAACGTGAATATATAAGTCTCTTAGTCTGTAATACAATTTATAATGATTTTCTTACTCTAAAATATGTTATTTGAGTTTGAATCGTTTGCCCTAGTTTACGTTAATGTGCCTTTATGAGTTTATGATAATTTCCCAAGTTTGCTTACACGATGGTTGGTTGCTATGCAGTTTGCTCCCGGAAGCGCGGGCACGATTGGCGCAGTGGTTATTGCCATTTCCCTCCAAATTGCAAAATATTCATTCATACAAGCAACATGGCGGCAGCTAGCAGTGTTTTCATGCAGTGTTTTTCCAACCTGAAACTTGGCTCTTCTGACGAGGAAACCGAAAGATCTGAGCGCTTTTGGAATGCCTCGACAGTTGAGTTGGAGTTCGGGGTTGAACGTATGTGGCTGGACGTTGTGTGGAAATGCCAGAACAAGCCAAACTTGGGGATGCGGAATCTCGATCCTATATTAGAAGAGCGTGCATGCTACAAATTAGAAATGGTCGGGCCCCTTATTGATGGCTACTTAACCGAGATTGGGAAAGGGATGTTCGCCAAGCTTGGAAGATCCAGAAATACTGGTCTCATGCCGCCAATAAAGCTGTTTGTGCCGTATTCTATTTTTCGGCATGTTTGCAATATTGTTGTTGGGTACGGCGGCTCGTTGTCCTTAAAGAAAAATCGAATGCTGGTTGAGATTACCAATAGCAATAATGCTGGGAAGGTATTTTCTCCCGTGCGATGTAAAGGCGACAATCTTTTAAGAAAAAGATACTTTGACAAGGTCAGGGAAAATGGAAGGAATATCTACAAATATTCTGGAAGAGCTGCTGTTGTTGTGACCAGCACGACTCCAATTATTTTTTATTACAATACGAAGCAGGAGAAGCTGACCATTCTATTTTATGTGCAAAGGTACGACAAGGACGATTTCTCCTTGGACGCTACTCTTCAAGCACTATTAAACAGTAATCATGTAGAATAGATCTGATAATTTACATGCACCTACTAATTTTAAACACAGTTGTGGAATTTATATATAAATAACCATTTTCAGCTCATTCTTTAGAAGGCAATTTACATACTGTAGCAACACCTCTGGAGTTTAAAATTGGTAGTTGCATAGAGGTAGTAGCAGTCTCATATAAATAGTCACAATATAAATAATCTTTTATGTGCATTTTATTGAGCACAGGTTTTCATCTAGACTTTAGACAAAGAGAGCCAATTAAAATGCACATAATAGCCCTATGAATGAATGTGGTCAGTAATTATTCCTGCTTCAAGTTCAATTTTTATTCCTTCCACTTTCTTTGATTTGTTACAGTGTTTTGTTTAGACTATTTAGTCTTGAAATTTCATACACACAAACAATGTGTGTACAAAGGCCTTTATTTACAATATTTTAATACCACCAGTCGCCATCGGCATTGTATGATTAAATAAAATATCCAATAATGTATATGGTACAAAAATATTGTTTATTTGCATGAGACATCACATGCTCATTGGGTGCCATCTTGGTTGATTTTAAAGTTTATAGTGAAATATAGTATTTTCTGGTTTGCACTTGCTTTGAAAACAGCTCATGAATGCATAAGTTACAGTTTCTGGCCAAATATAAAATTAAAACAATGAAGAATGTACATTGTTTATGGTTGTCATCTGTATTTGAAAAGTCAACCAAGATATCATTGATCGATAAATTGCAAAGAAGCAATTGTGCCACAAGACCAGTATTTCAAGATCTGCCAAATTAAACCAACTAGAATCATTTGGTGTTAGACAGATTAAATAACAAATTAACTCTTTAAGTACTTTACTCTGTCTAATGCCAGACAATTTTACTCGTCAAGTGGAGAGTGCTGCCACTCAATGGGTTAAATAAATTAACCCTTTAATTAAGTAATTTACTCTGTCTAACGCCAGACAATTTTACTCGTGCCACTCAATGGGTTAAGATGCAGTTGGGATTAATTAGCTGTACAGAAAACATTAAAATAGAATAACAGGGTATTTTCTGAAAAGATTGACTCCGCACACATGAAAATTTACTTTTTGGATGCCCTAGTAGATTCAAGCAACTGTTATCAAAAACAAAGTGGAGAGTCCTGCCACTCAATGGGTTAAGATGCAGTTGGGATTAATTAGCTGTATAGAAAACATTAAAATAGAATAACAGGGTATATTCTGAAAAGATTGACTCCGCACACATGAAAATTTACTTTTTGGATGCCCTAGTAGATTCATGCGACTGTTATCAAAAACATACTTCCATGGATAGCACAAATTCCCCCAAATATGTGTGTGTATTGATCTTTGTGGGTCAACTCATTCTCATTTGCAACAAAAATGCAAGAACTGAACAATAATAGTCAATAAACATTTTGTTTTTATAAATTTTGAATATATAATTTGGAACATAATTCTAGCATAAAATATTGAAAATTTAATATTATAGTAAATAATTTGTCATTCTATTATTAAAAAATTCAGTATAGAAACAATATAGAAAACTATTTTAGACAATATATTATAACAAAATATATTCTTAATATATGTGAGCATAGAAACTATTCTACATAATAATATATATACATATATATCTGTATTAATATCTTAACATGAATATTAATAATTATGAATATAATATTTACAGTGAATGATTTTCATTATTCAAAGAGTCAGCATCAAGGCATATTTTTAAGTAATAGACTGGTGAACCATTTGGCCCACCAGGCCCCTCAAGTGGCCCACCACTCACAGGGTATTGGCCCACCACTGTGTGGGCCCCCGCAGCTTCAGTCTTTACATTTTAGCATCAAGAATATAAAATTGTTTACCTTAAACAAGCTATTAAAATGCTAGTCTATAAACTTTCAATTTCTTGATGGCATTTATATTGCACTAATGGTTTTGTTTCAAATTATACACGTGCAGAAAACAAAGTACACCCATATTTTTCCACTGACATTACGTATTGGGGGCACATGTCACCAATGTTTCACGATTTTTATTTAAATATAAAATGTAATTTTTATAAATTTGTACATTATAAAAATATGGCGACAAACAACAAGCGAAAGGAATGAGCGGTTATCAGAAAAGAAAAAATAAGAGACTGCGAGAATTGACCATATCTATTATGAACCATGGGCAAACCACTTTATCTGACTTTTTTCACCGCAATACAAATGAGTCGTTCGTCAGAGGTGAAAGTGCAGGCTAAATTGCAGAATACCCGTCCACTTTTGAAGGTATCCCTTGTTATCATGATACGATGCTACGAAGTGAGAATGATTATGTAATAACTATATGACCACGCTATTATAAAAGCCTGGGTATAACCTATATTAATATATTATTGTGTGATATGATGATACGAAGTGAAATAGCACGTATACACAGTATGTTTGCCTCGTTCTTTGAAAGACATGTATATCTCTTTGTCTTGTTCTTTGAAAACCTTACCTGTGGGCCATATCTAATTATTTATAAATCCAAAAATATAGCTTACCCAGACTTTTATAATAGAGCAATATATAGTTATTACGTAATAATTTTCACTTCGTATCATCGTATCAGCCAAAAATATAGCTTACCCAGACTTTTATAATAGCACAGTTATATAGTTATTACATAATCATTTTCACTTCGTATCATCGTATCAGCCAAAAATATAGCTTACCCAGACTTTTATAATAGCGCAAATATATAGTTATTACATCATCCTTTTCACTTTGTATCATCGTATCAGCCAAAACTATAGCTTACCCAGACTTTTATAGTAGCGCAAATATATAGTTATTACGTAATCATTTTCACTTCGTATCATCGTATCATGATAACAGGTGAGGTCTTCAAAAGTGGACGGGTATTCTGCAATTGCTCCAAAGTGCATCGACATGCTCAGCTCCCGCTGTGTTGGAAACAAAAGATGATGGATCTAAAAATACAGCTGCTGATGACGATGAAAATAGCATTAATTTCTCTATTGTCGATGACCTGGCATCAGGTGAGGAAACATCCGAAACGCCCAGCGATGAACGGAACGAAGTTGAATGTTGGTACAAAAACAAAAAAGTAAATCTCAATTGGCTGCTGGAAGCGAAAAAATGTTTATCTGTTTCGAAACACAAATTTGGAGATCGAACAAGACCATCTGTGACTTGTTTAGTGTGTGCTTCTCACAAAGAACATATTAGGGGATTTTCGAGTAATGGTCAAGTGCCTTTGGCAAGAGGTATTCATGGATTTCGTGCTGATGGTAATTAAGATAGTTTGATAATAATAATTGATCATTTCTAAAATGAAAAAGCAGAAGAAATTTCCAACCTGACACAGAACTTTTTAAGGATAGAGAATATATGAGAAAATTTTATTGGGAATCAAGTGGATGTTTGTAAATTACTTCTGTTTAGTCACTTTAGTGGAGAGTGGAACTGGAACACTTTCAACACTGCATTTCATTTACAATCATTTCACTATTTTTTTGTATTTTTAGTCAGACCAATTGCATCTGTTAGTGCAGCGAACTCAGAACTGGGATTTGTCACCCATGCCCTTGATGGCATGATACGCCAGTACCGAAGTTAGCGGAGTACCCCTCTGTAGTGTAGAAACTAGAAATAATAAATATGTGTTGAATGTGACACTGTAATACTCAATAAGTTCAGGAAGCGTTTTAACACGATTACTACACAATTATTCAATATTCAGAGCTGGACCGGCAGGGGGCGGGACGCAGGGGGCCTACCATAAATTTTGGCCCACCACTGTAAATTCCTTAAAATATGCCTTGGTCAGCATATTTACAATATAGAACTAAATACCCTATTCCCCTGTATATAAGCGAACTGCAGATAAAGGCACATGCACTTGTATCCGAGTATAAGTGCATGCACCTTTAATGAATTAAACTGTCAAAATTTATATACAGAGCAAATATAATAATTCATAAGCAAAATTCAATAATTCATAAGCAAAGTACAAACTCATGGGATTTGCAACTAAGGAGACTTCCTCAAATTTTCTCCTTCAATTTTAATGGCCATTGAGCAAAGTTACTGCACAAAATATGTGTCATTTTTGAAGTACAAACTTGGCGGCAGTGTCAGTCACTATCAAAACAAAAACTTTTGTGTTTTAAATCTGATAAAGACCTCTTGCACGGTTTGTATGTACCATCTTTTTTACAAAAGCTGCTTAGATACAAGAGTTGATTTAGAAAAATTGAGTTGCAAAAAGGTATCAACTATATTTCTAGATTTCTATTTGATTTTTAATTTGCATGAATAAAAGCCACAGTAGAATAACCAGGTCAACCTTTTACCCAGTATTTTCTCAGCATTCTGCCCAGGAACACACATAAAGATAAATGATGTTGATTTTACCATAATCCATTCAGGAATTGACTCACTTGAGTCAATTGATTTTATTGTTAAAAGTAAACATTTTGATAAGAAATAACATTATGGTAAAATAAACACTGCCATTTTATCATGGTGAAATTGAACTGATCTCATTGTGTTAGATAAAAAGTTTTAATTTGGGTTAAAAATTGTTTGAAACAACTTGAATACCAATCTAAAAAAATGGAATTGCCAAAACATTATACCCAGTTTTCTGATGATAGAAACCCTTTCTAAAATAGCCACCAACCTAATATGTCAAGGCCGATACTGCAGATTTGAGTAATAAGGTTTAAGGGTTACACTTTCCAGAAAGAAATGACCTGGCATTTATGGATTCTCAGAGGGCATCGCTCAAAAAGCAAAGATATTATTTTCCTATTTTCAGGTAGTTGTATATATAACCTTGGCCTTGTAGCTCAGTTGGCAGAGCATTGGACTAGCCCAAAGGTCACAGGTTCGATTCCCAAATTGCTAAATTTTAGCCTGCCCGGTGTGGATATACACTCAGAGTAACATCAAAAACATATTCACCAGAGTACATAGCACCACCAAAACACACAAAATATCATATCATAGAACACATTGGTATCGAAGGTGCTAGACTTAGTTTCGAAATACCACACACTCAAACAGACTTGGCCTGTAGCTCAGTTGGCAGAGCATTTGACTAGTATCCCAAAGGTCACGTGTTCGATTTCCACCGTGGTCAGGCTAACTTTTCAGCCTGTCCGGTGTGGATATACACTCAGATAACATCAAAAACATTATATTCACCTGAGTACTTAGCACCAAAATACACACAAAATAACCTACTCTTCTCAGCATTTATGTCCTTCAGGTAGTTAAATCACCTAGCTACTATAGCCAGCAATATATTTTGACTCTACTGAGTACTGGCACATCCCACCACTGAACTACTGAAGGCATTGTTCATTAAACTGATATGGCTCAGTGGCCCATTTCACAGTTTTACTTTGCATTTGGCAGTACACTTTCCAGCCTTCGAACTAAAATTTCCTTGTTACCGGAGGTGGATAGGCCTTTTTCCCTCAGGGCCGCCTTCAACTCTGTAACACTCATACTTTTTAATTGAGTCTTTATAAGTGAGTGAGAAGGTCTAGTGCTCTCAGTAGCAAGAGTCTGAGAGCGATGGACAATATCAGTTGGTGCTTTCAAATTGGTCACATCAGAAAAGCGTTCATTGCATTTACTGCAAATGATTGGCTTAAATAAGAAAATAACTTCATCAAATAACTTCTTCTCTTTAGCACATTTAATTACAATAGTTTTAGCAGCTTTACAAACCCCACACTGCTCATCCACAATATCTAATTTAGTTCTTCCACAAGCACAATAATCGACCCTGCTGCAGTGTGGTGGTGTACGTGACTTAAAATGAGAAATATATGATGGAGGTGCAGGTTGGTGTTCAGGAAGATAGAATGACCTAACATAATTTGAGTGCAAAACTTGCCACCACTTGCCATTACCCACACTACTCGTCCACAATATCTAATTTAGTTCTTCCACAAGCACAATAATCGACCCTGCTGCAGTGTGGTGGTGTATGTGACTTAAAATGAGAAATATATAATGGAGGTGCAGGTTGGTGTTCAGGAAGATAGAATGACCTAACATAATTTGAGTGCAAAACTTGCCCACCACTTGCCATTAGTGCTACTTTTATTTGACCTGTTGGTTAAAGAAAGATCACCTTTAATACCAGCATGTTTGATTCCTTCGCTTGAAGTGACAAAATACCATAACCAACATGGTATTCTTCATACAATTTTCTGGCATGATAAGGTATGGCATACCCCACTGTCCAGACAGTAACTTTAATACTTGTGGGGAAAAAAAGAACAAGAATATTAAAATAAAGCTGACAAAATTCGGTCAGTTGATCAACTTCTCCAATGGAACTTAAATTAATTTTGTTAAACAATCTGCTGGCATAAATATTCCACTGCTTTTGAAAGTGCCAATCGTTTGGTATTCTCTAAAGGCCTTTCTTCATCATATTGCAAGGCATCAACAAGTCTGTAGCCATGCCTAGAAAGACTCGCAGCTTGACTACCTATCAATCAAGTTGGCAATTTGTTTGACCTTTTAGCTTCGACACTGTAATGCTCCTTAATTTTACATGCTCTAAGTATGCCAGACCGCATCCATACACTTTGGCAGCCTTACTTTATATGCTCTGGTATAGCAATCTCAGACAAAGTTAATGTGTCTTCTGACATAGAATTATTTAAATCAGCTGGGTTTGTAATCTGATCCAAAGTTTCCAAATGATTACTATGTTCAAGACCAACAGGAGCTGATAATATTTTAATGAACTGCTGGAAAATGTTACGCTTCACACATTCGCAGTAATTTAAATCTAATAAATGCTGCCATGCATTCATTTCACAATGCAGTGAATCTGGTCGAACTCTTTCTGCAAACACCCCAATTCTAGCCATTTTCAGCCAAAAAAGCAAGCATTTTCTCATGACGAGTACTGCTTTTAATATTAGTAGCTAGAGAACTAATAAAAACATTTACCTTCTTTGTATGCTCAGCACGCAAGTCGTTTGTGTACGGTGTCCAAGTATCATTGTGATCAAGACCAATTGTGCCACCTAGAATACACATATTATTTTTGTGCACATTTGCATAGGGACAAGGGTGTGTAGCTGCCTGGTTCAGTTCATTGCAGGCCAACTTTGCCAGCTCATGTCAGCACTTGGCTGAAACTCAACTGTGCAGTCCTTCCCACAAACTGTGAAAACACTGGACTCAAGTAGCTGCATCTCATCAGTATGTTGTCTCCAAAGAAGCTCAAGCATTGCATGCTTTTCGCCAAGGCTGACACAATGAAGTAGGTACTGAAATTCCCTACTTCTAACCCTTTCCCCAAAATTCCACAATGTTATACTGCATAATAAGTTCTTTGAATGTTTGCATGGCGATAAAATATAATTGTTTTTGTTTGTGGAAACACCGCGTAAATTTATTACTGCAAAGCTTTCGATCCGTAAGCCCGGATCTTCATCAGTGCTAATAATATGTGACTTGTTTAATTCACACGCTCTTTTTATAAAGAAAGAAAAAAAAAGAGCGTGTGAATTAAACAAGTCACATATTATTAGCACTGATGAAGATCCGGGCTTACGGATCGAAAGCTTTGCAGTAATAAATTTACATGGTGTTTCCACAAACAAAAACAGTTATACTGGCTATTGACATTGTTTCAGGGGCACCATCATCAGAAAACTGGAAAATGAAATGATT